TGCTTCTGAGCTAGATGGCCTCTTGGTTACCTTCAAGCCTTTAAGACCCCGTTACCTTCAAGCCTTTAAGACCCCAGAAACTATACCTTTTGATAGCCGGGCACCATCAGAGACAAACTCTTGATGGGAGTAGAAAACCCTGTCTTTCTCCTAAAAAGTGGCTGATGGCTTTGAACTACTGACCTTGCAGTTACCAGCCCAACATGTCACCACTATGCCACCAGGGCTCCTCCCCATCGCTCAGAGCTCTACACAAATGATAGCCAAAGTTATGGTTAGAAGAAGCAATTGGAACTTAATGAGCCATGTTTCTCACTTTGCAAATTACCTGTCACCTAGCTGTTTCCTCATCATAGTGTCTGTCTAGATGGTCCGAACCCATTATGCTATGCTCGAGTTTACCATATCCTTTGCAGTCCTGTTTCTTTTACTGTGCTCAAGGGCAGATTTACAAAGTGATTCAATCCATTTGAGAGTGTTCAATCTTTCAATCTCATCATAGCTTTTTAGCCTCTGGGCTTAGTTTTCAACCTACCTATCTCCAATTCCTATTCCAGACTACTTTTCTTTAGCACAGAGTTGTTCTGTTCTGTTCGTGAGCCTGCCAAGCTATGACAAAATTAAATTAAGCTAGTGTGACACCCATTCATATGAAGTAAAAGTGGGAGCAGTCGGGGAGTTTTGTATGAAAACTTCACTTTTATTAACTCTACTAATAATCTGAGGAATGAGAGCCATTACTTCGACTCATCTATGAAAATACAAGCCTAATACCAGAATGATTTTGAATAGAATTACTAAGTGAAAAATCAATGAATCTCTTTAACCATAAAGTGGGGCTAGTCCATAGAATTGGACTCTTTACAATTAGCGGTTGAGTATATATTAAAAGTATATTTAATTTTATGTTATATATCTTACCTTCACTTCAACATGTGCCATCAATACAGCAAAATTGGTTAGGTGATTACAAGAGCATGTAGTATGTGTCTTATTTGTGGTCAGGAGTCGACAGCCTTGTGTTGACCAATAACCTGTCATTGTGCGCTTGGAATAGCTCCAAAATGAACAGTTAGGGTTGAAATTTTCCTCTGACTGCTACAGGGGGGAAAAAATCAATAAAAGCAATAACTACTTTATGATCACGCAAATTAGGTAGGCATTTTCTTTACAACTAATACTACTTCATACTGTTTCAATTTACACTGATGCAGTCAACGGTGATCACATCAATGTTAACAAATTTACTATAATCAAATGTTGGCTCTCCTTGGTTGGAAGATGAAGAAATATGAGTATTACTATATCAGTGGCACATCAATTAATTTACCAGCAAAGTAAATAAGTTAATTGTGCCAGGAATCAACTTTTGAAACAATGGTCTTCAGAAATCTTTGTTTAACTTACAATTCTGATCTTTGATATACAGACAGAGTCACAATAACTTTTTGGAGGAACATTATTTTATTTTTTTGTCTTATTTTTTAATTTAGAAGGTCAACAATTTGAAATATCTTTACCTATTTTAGGAAGTAGCTATATTCAGCTCAAATTAAACTACTGCTGTTTTTTTACATTCTGAGAATCATTTAGAAATCAATTTGTGACTGATTCTCTATAATCATTTATATATATAAGAAATATGTTCTCTCTAAAAATCTCATTTCTAAAAAAAAGGTAAAATACCATTAATATTTGAATGAATAATTAAATGTCAAACAATAGAAAAATATAAAGTAAATTAATGCTGTTCATATTATAACAAGTATAAATATATTTTGGATAAAATTTTTAAACATTAATTCTTACCTTGATATGCTTAACAGTAAACACCACAGGGTCTGCCAAGTAAACTTTATTACTGAATTCCTTGTTTATTGCTGCCGTGATAACGGGGGAATTCACGATTACAGAGTGATTTGTGGACATAGCCTCAGTGCCCAACTTCATACTGGCATTCTCCGTGGACAAATAAGGACCCAAGTTGTTATACAGGACAAATGCCACCCTGATCTCTCCTAAAATAATGGAAAAAGTGAATTAAAGCTGGGGGGAAAAAATTTTGCATATGTGTTATAATGAGATTAGTTAGTACTAATTAGATTTTAATCAAATTTGTTAAACAAAGTATATTTACACCTGAAAAATCAAACATGAATTTTAACCAAAGCATTAATGGTGCAAAATAGTGATTTTATTGAAAGACACACACACACAAACACACACACACACACACACACACACACACACAGAGGCTTTCAAAAGTTTGTGGAAAAATTCAACTATCATTTAATTCCATTCCTCCACAAACATTTTAAAGCCCTCCCTTATACATGTTTGCATTAGGCATTCCTGTTGCAAAAGACCATTTTAAAATGTTAAAGAGCACAGATGTCATTTGGAGGACTAAGGTGCACCTGACTCTGACCATGGTATTTTTGATCACCTGAGAAGCATGTGAAAGTTGTGTAATGCATATGGAAGACAAGGAAACAGATGATATGTTTTAATTAAGGTGTTGGTGGAAAATATTGGATATACCAAGCACTGCTAGAAAAAAAACAACAACAAGCAAATCCGTCTTGGAAGAAGTATGCCAGAAATATTCTTAGAATCAAGGATGGCAAGATGTTGTCTCATGTACTTTGGACATGACATCAGGAGGGAACAGACCCTGGAGAAGACCACTGTGCTTGATAAAGTATGGGTTTAGAAAAACAAGAAAGACCATCAGCAATATGGATTGATACAGTAGTGCAAAAATAGGCTGAAAGAAATAACTCCTGAGCATTGTTCAGGACCAGGCTGTGTTTCATTCTGTTGTGCATAAGTTGGTATGAGTCAGAACCAACCTCACGGTGTCTAACAACAATCTCTGTCTCAATCTTCACTCAAAACTTATGTCCT